GGAGTCACAAGCTTCTCTGTTGAACGTTGCTGGATGCGGCTTTCAAATTCTTCAATGTTGTCCTTCTTCACACACTCATATAACTTGCTATCTATCTTTGTATTTGGCATGTGATCTCTCGGAATCGAGTTTTGAGCTATGTTTATTGCTACGCTAGACATAGCGAAAGAAAATGTTATTTTACTTGAATCAGCTATACGTATCAGACAGCTGGACTTCTAATTTAAATAGACCAGAAGGAGAGAGCAGCCTTGGCCATGGTTATAGCAGCATCTAGATAAGGAAAAGGAAAAGAGAAAGAAAAGGAGGAAAATGAGAATTATATTAGCATGTTTGTATCTAATATATTCTTTAGATATTACCTGTTCGTGTCATAAATTATAAAGCTAATAAAAATTTATCTTATAGTTAACTTCAAGTCTTAAAAAAATTAGTTAAAATTCGTGTAAATTAATTTAGAAACCTACGGTTACAAAAAAAATATTTGTTTTTATATTTAAAAAATTATTTTTTTAATTTTCTTTAATATTTTTAAATTATTTTAATGTGTTATATTTAAAATAATTTAGAATAAAAAATAAATTATTTTAATATATTTTTAAATAGAAAATAATTAAAAAAACAAATATATAACACTTTAAAATCAAGTCAAACGATAGTGTCAAATAACGAACTAAGACTTCGTCAACTATCTAAACAAACGTGTCGAGCACTCCTAACAATATGTCAGAAACTGATTTTGAGACAAACGTAAGGGCGTCTTCTTTTCGTTTTTTCTCTGTAGAGTTAATAGATTATGTAAAAATTGTTTTTTTAAATATTTTTTATTTTAAATTATATTAAAATAATATTTTTATTTTTATTTTTCATAGTAACCTCGGTGAGAATGAAGAGGAAAATGACCTAAGTGTTTATTAAATTAACTTTTTAAAGCTGACAACATACAAAAGAAGTTTGAGAAGTGGAGGGATCTGTACTGGGATGCCATCAGGATGCATGATGATAAGCTGTAATTAAATTATTAATTATTAGTATTTATTCTTAAGTTATTGATAATATAAACCGTAACCTCAAATTTTCTCAATTAAAAATCTACTGGTAGTGTTTAATGTTTCCTTTACCAAAGCTGTTTTGGGTAAATTAAATTACCTCCGAGTCTGCCTTTTATATTTTTGGCTATTGTCTGACCAGGTCGTCAAAGAAGCCACAGATGCTGAATTTTCAGACAATGCTAGCGAAGTATTATTGGATGAAATCGCTTTCGTTTGGAAAAAGGAAATAAAAAAACAAAACAAAAAAAGTCTTAGTCTATGCAACTTGCTAGTCTTAAGTCTTTTATGGACTCGGTCTGTGTTGGATTCGGTCCATGTTGATGCAGATGGATGTGTCTCTTAGATGCAAGAAAGGTACTTCTTCCAGACTCGGATCTTTGATTTCCAAAATCGGGACAAGAGAATAGCTGTCAATTTTTAAAGTGTAGAACTCATTTCGATTGATTGTGCGGAACATAAGCGATATTTTTTAAAAATATACTGACTTATCCGAACACTCGGAATCCCGGGGCAGGGAGAAAAGCAGATGTTCTCTTCTCCTTAAATACATTTCAACTAATTCTTTAAGGATTTTAAATTAATGAACATAAATGTTTATTGTTTTTCAAACTAGTTATTTAAAAAAAATAGGAACATAAGCGATATTTTTTAAAAATATACTGACTTATCCGAACACTCGGAATCCCGGGGCAGGAAGAAAAGCAGATGTTCTCTTGTACATTTCAACTAATTTTTTAAGGATTTTAAATTAATGAACATAAATATTTATTGTTTTTTTCAAACTAGTTATAATTTAAGATATAAAATTAAGTTATATCTCTCGAAATTCTTTTTTACCTTCTTATTATAATTGATAGTTAAAGAGATTACTAATGAGATAATTTAAAATCAGATAATAATTATTTTTTAAAATATTTTTTATTTAAAAATATATTAAAATAATTTTTTTTTAATTTTGATATCATCACAAATTTAAAGCAAATATCTTGAACTTGAAAACCTTATTAATTCAAATTAGAGGGGGATATTGTGAAGATAATTGATCAGAATTTATTAACCTTGTTAACCTTATTGATTCAAATTAGAGGAGGGATGGGATGAAGGTGTTTGATTTCATAGATATATTTATTTATTTATTTATTTAATTATATAATAATAAAAATTGTTATATATATATATATATATATATTATTTAGAAGCTTCGAAAATTAGTTATGATTACTAATTATTATATGACAATTTCTATTTTTATTTTTATTTTATCTCTAGTAATCTTAATTAGTTAGTTCACCGAGTTGCGCACTATGTGTCAATATTAATATCAATAAGGAATCGAAATTCCCATTTTGATATCATCACAAATTTAAAGCAAAAATCTTGAACTTGTAAACCTTATTGATTCAAATTAGAGAAGGAATATTGTGAAGATAATTGATCTAGAACTTGTGAATCTTATTGATTCAGAAAATATCTTGAACTTGTGAACCTTAGTGATTCAAATTAGAGAAGAGATATTATGAAGATAATTGATCTAGAACTTGTGAACCTTATTGATTCAGAACTTATTAACCTTATTGATTCAAATGAGGGATAGGATGAAAGTGTTTGATCATAAATACATTTATTTATTTAATTATATAACAATAAAAATTGTTATATATATATATATATTATTTAAAAGCTTCAAAAATTAGTTATGATTACTAATTATCATATGATAATTTTTTTTTTTTTTTATCTCTAGTAATCTTAATTAGTTCACCGAGTTGTGCACTATGCGTCAATATTAATATTAATAAGGAATCAAAATTCTTATAATTTTATATTTTTATATATAAATTTATTTAGAAATATAGTTGTGATTATTTTTTAAATAACTTTTTGTATCAAAATACATGTTAATAATTTTTTTTTTATTTTTTTTAAATTATTTTTTACATCAACATTTCAAAATAATTTAGAAATATTAAAAATATATTAATTTAAAATTAATAAAATAATAAAATAAAAATTTAAATTTTTTTTAAATATTTTTATAACTTAAAAACAAACCGGATGTAAAGCCATACATTGACCATCCCAATCATTGAATAAAAAAAACAAGAGGAAAAGCATTGAATCAAAAGGGATGACAGTGGTGTCTAGGCAAAGAATTTGGTGTTTCATCAGGTTCCTAACAAAATCCATGCCAAGGGTAAAAATTAATATATGTTTTCACATCATTTTAATATATTAATATTAAAAATATATTTTTAAAAAAAATTATTTAAAATAAAAAATATTTTAGGGATTAGCTATTTTATAGCATCTTAAAATATACATGCCCGCTTTTCAACCTAAACACCGAGAGACAATCAAATCATCATCAATGTGGCATCATTTTCTATCTCCTCCTTACTTCAAATCATTATGCACCTTCACATTATGCCCAAGAATCATATAACAACGAATTATATTAATTACATCAACTCCATACAATTCATCTATACTTCTGTCAGGAAATGACAATCACTACTGTACTAGCCAAGCTTTCTTAATATATACAGTCCAACACAAACTGACATTTTGGGTTTGGTCAGGTTGGGCCAGATAAAAATCTCTTTGACATGGTTCAAGCAAGCAGTTGAAAAGGTTGAGATTTTCCAAGAGAAAATCATGGATC